AGGAAAGCAGATGATTACAAAAAGGAAAAGCCAGGGGTGTGTGGTTCAGTGATAGAACACCTGCTTAACTTGCTCAAGGCTCTGGGATCCATCACCAGCACCCCCCAAAAAAGTGATGCTTTGATGGCTGACAGGCTGAGGCTGGCGTGCTCAGATACCAGGCGAAGCTTGCCTGGGAGGTGACGGTGCCTGGGAGTGGGAGGACAGATAGGAAGTGACCCGGAAGAGGACACAGGACATTCACAAGAGGTGGCAACTGATCCGGAAGACCCTGCATCGTACACCCCACTGCGAGAAAAGCGGCCCCAGCCCTTCTACACTCTAGACCCACTTGTGAAGCTACAGTCTGACTCTCCACGGCCAGGAAAAGCCAGGGCTTCTGATCCATATGGGCCTGCCTCCCACTCTGCATTTCTACTTTTAATTCTGTTTGTTTGTTTTTTGAGACAGGCTCTCACTATGTAGTGCAGGCTAGTCTTGAACTCACTATGGAGCCCAGGCTGGCCTTGAACTTGAAGCATCCTGTCTCAGCCTCCCGAGTGCTGGGGTTACATGTGTACACCACCAATGCTCGACTTAAGTTTTTTTTTATGACACAAAATTTCAAATGTATATGTACAAAAGTGGAGAAAACAGTATAATGAACACCCGTGTGGCCCAGCTCCAACAGTCATCCGCCCATGGCTCCCTCTGCCACCTCTACTCCTCCCTCGATCATTCAAAATAAATTCCTAATTGATCTTTCCATAAATATTTCAAGAGATATGTCTAAAAGATAAGCCTCTGCTTAAAAGTATACTTGTCACCCCAAAATATGAAGACCCGATTCAAAAATGGGCATCTGAAATGAACAGACATTTCTCACACAAACAAGTAAAAGCAGCAAATAAACATATGACAAAATGTTACATCACTGGTCATTTGAGAGATGCAGATGAAAACAACACTGAGATTCCACCTCACCCCAGAAAGAACGGCTGCTATCAAGAAATCAACCAATAACAAATGCTGGTGGAGTTGCGGGGAGAAAGGAACCCTTCTCCATTGTTGGTGGGAGTGAAGACTGGTGCAACCACTGTGGAAATCAATATGGAGATACCTCAAACAACTAGGACTAGAGGTCCCATTTGATCCAGCCATCCCTCTGCTGGGTATCTTCCCAAAAGAGTTAAAAGAATCATACCACAGCTATATATGCTCACCCATGTTTACAGTGGCACAGTTTGTAATAGATAAAATTTGGAAACAGTGCAATTGCCCATCAGCTGGAGACTGGATAAGGAAGATGTGGTTTTTCTATAAAATGGAGTACTAGCCGGGGATTTAGTTCAGTGGTTCTGGTGCCTGCTTTGCAAGTGCTGGGACCTCAGTTCGAATCTGCGTATCAAAAACAGAGTACTACTCAGCCATAAAGAATGAGAAACTATAGTCATTTTTAGGAAAATGGCTGCATATTGAGGCCAGACTTTTTTTTTTTTTTTTGGTACTGGGGATGGAACAACTCAGGTTCTTGAGCTTTCGAGGCAGGCAGAGGAAACACTGAGCTAAATCCCTGGCCCCATTTTTTTTTTGGAACCAGGGATTGAATTTGGGACCTTGCACTTGCGAGGCAGGCAGCAGAACTACTGAGCTAAGTCCCTGGCCTGAGGCCATAGTCTTAAGTGAAATAAATAGAATGCATATGTGTAAATACCAAATAGTTTCTCTAGTGTAAGAAACTGAAAGTGTAAATAAGGACTAAAAGGTATAATAGATAATGGGAAATAGGAAGAAAAGGTGTAAAGGGGAAGGGAAAATAGGAGGGCTGGGGAAAAGAAAGAGGGGAGTGGAATTAACAGAAGAAAAAGAAAAAATGGAAACAAAGTATTTGTAGATAGGGAGGGGTGGAGGGGTTGAAGGGAGGGCAGGGGAATGGGGAAGAAATAAGAAAGAACCCAGATGGTTTATGTAAAGGTGCAAATTTCCAATGATGAATGTCATTACACTGTATACCTTAAATGTACCAATAAAATTAATGAATTTAAAAGAAGTATACTTGTCATACCGTTATCGTACCTAAAGTTAATTAACAAGAAGCCTTGGTACCATCCACCGTCTCTCCCCAATCCACTGTGCTTTAGCAGGGGATTGGCCCACTGCAGACTGTCACAACACTGCCCCCGGGACCCCACAGCGTGCGCAGTCACAGGTCTGTAACACGCCTCTGGCGGCTCTGTACGTCACATGCGTTGCAACCCTAGCTGGGTTATAAGTTCTTCAGAGCAAGGACTGGCACTGCTGCCCTTTTGGCCCTCTACTATGGCAGAGGGGAAGAAACACAGACCTTAAAGTCAGGCAGGCCCCTTATTAGCTGTGTTACCTCACGATGGTTATCCAACCTCCCTGAGATTTTTCTCCTGATCTGTGTAATGGGGATGAAAACACCTTCCTCCCAGGACTTCTGAGGCTTAAAATAAAAGAGAAGGCAGAGGAGCCAGCCACGTAGAAGCTTCTCGGTAAATGCTCACCTGGCTCCTGCTCGGAACGGTGCTGGTCCCAGACTCAGGTTTGACTGCTTGCAGTCCTCCCGTGGAAGGAGGGCAGACCAAGGCGGGGAGGGGTGCGGGTGCAGCCGCAGCCGCTGCTCTGGAGATGGGGGTGCGGCGTTGAGCACCCAGGCTTTACTCACTTGCTCTGGCCTCTAATTCACGGGCAGGGGTGGGCTCACAGCCCCTGGGGACAGAGGGAAGGGGCAGGCTGGGAATTCACGATTCCACGGCTGCCATCTATGGAGCGCTTGTTGTATGCCATGCTGTGTTTTCCATATTGAGCCCATTTCATTTGCACAACGATCTCATGAGGTGGGGACTGTTACCCTCCTGACTGAGATACACCGACAGTAAGAGAAGCCGGTACTCACACACCAGGTTTTCCTGATAATTTCATCCAAGTCCTTGACCCACCACTGCCCCCTATTTTGCTAATGGTGCGAAAGCAGCCACTTTTTAGGGTTCGTTCTCATTCACCAAGACTTACAGAGACAACTTCCGCCAGTGGCTCAGTACAGACCCTGAACTCCGGCCAGTCACTCTGACAGCATAGGCCTGGACTGCCTGAGGAGGAGGAGCAGGAGTCCACAGGAGCCGCTGTCTCCATGAGGGGCAAATGGTCCTACCTGCAGCTCCTTATCCTGATGCCTGCACTTCAGCCTCATTTCCCGGCTTGGGCTCTGCCTGCAGAACCAAGTGTGGACATGGAGGGAGGTGGGACAGGAGAGGAGAGGCAGGCTGAGCACAAAAGCCGGAGAATGAGTTTTAGGAGCACAAGTGTTGCCCGCCCCTCTGGGGCTAAACATCTTGCTCTGTGACCCGGAGCTTGGTGGAGGGCCGGGGGTGTGGCTCGGGGGAAAGCACTTTCTTGGCGTGAATGAGGCCCAGCACCTCAAGAAAAAAAAAAGTACTGTTCTAACTCAGCCTCCAGACACATAGGACAGAAGGTGGCCATGACCCAGAACACACAGGGCCTGGGTGGAGCGGAGGGTCACAGAGGTGCTAAGGCTTTTGGTTGCATTTCATTTCTTTCTATATTTCCTGATAGCAACCCTGAGGTTCCAGACCCTCACAGTAGGGCCCATCATTTTTTCCCTATAAATGTTTCGTCATTTATTCATCATTACCATAGCTGCACCAGGGGCAGCCGTTCTGCCCACACGATGGTAATTCCTGAGCCACTGGCTTCCCACATTCTCCTCACTTCTTGGCAAAGCTTTAAACGGGGGCCCAGGTGGTGGAAGGGATGGAGACAGGTGACCTGGACTCTCTTCTTTCCCTCCTTTCCTTTTCCTTCCTACTTTTAAGGACTTAGGAACTCAGGGCCCTGTCCACCAGCACACGTGGTCACTTTCAAACCCAGCCAGATCTTGCACAGATGTTTCAGTCTTCTGTCCTCTGTGCGGAAATGAACACGCCATCAGAAGTTCCATGCCTCAGTTTCCATAGAAGTAAAATAAAGAACTGGAATTGAGGCTATAAACATTTTCTTGGAAGAATTCACAAATAATAGCTGCTATACCAGAGACATGGCTGAGAATGACCCCAAAGACTTAAAATAGTTTGTTCGCTGGACACTTTCCCGTGGACAATGGAATCCCACAAAGTCACACTTTATCAGAGGATCGTCTGGTTTGTCCAGAGGAAGCTCAAATGTGAAAGCAATGGTGAAGAAAAAGTAATTCCTCCAAGCCCACCCAGGAAGACAGAAAGCAAGCTGTGCTTCAGCCCAACCGCGATGTGGGCAGATGCACCCGAACAGCCCCACTTTTCCCTTCTGTGTCGTCTCCTGTTGGACTCTCTCCATCCCCAGCAGTGGCCTCGCTAGCTTGTAAAGGACTTAATGCCGGGGGGCTGTGGGGGTGGGCACTCAAGAGCCTCCTCTAGAGAGAGTAAAACAGGAAAGAGGAAGAGAGGAAGAAAGACAGACAGGCAGGCAGCACCACTTTTCCTGGGAATAAACTGGAAGCTATGAGGTTCAGACACGCTCCAGCCCACAGACACCTGGCCCCTCTCCCCTTCCCCAAGCTTCCTCAAATGGTCTGTGTGCTGTGAGATGCCCATGAGGTCAGGGGAAGGGAACCCTTCGGCCATAAGGAGGATTTAGCCTTCTCGTGGGTGGCTGGCAGGAGGCTGCGACCATCATTCGCTCCTTTTTCCCGCCTCACCACAGGATGGGATGAATTTAATGGAAAAAACAGCAGGCGAGGGATCAGGATGGAGTCCACTCGACAAGGAATGCTGCAAGGCCGCGGCCCAGCTTCCCTCCCACCAGTCGCCTCTTTGACCAGGGCGCTGTACTTCTCCAGTGTATCACGCAACTTTTGCTTACGGAGCAGAAATGGGGGGCAAGAGATACGCACTGCTGCGCTAGTGGGTAGGAACCAGTCCTGTTGCCAGTGAGAACTGTAGTGCTAAGGCCAGAAAGCAGCACCCCAGTCGTGGAGTCAGCCCCCCCAGCGTGTCACTCACATCCATGGACAGCTCCCTCTGGATCAGTTTCTTGGTCTCCTTTTCGCAGAAGTTGAGCATGGCTTCCCGGTTGTACAGGCCCGTGGACTGTTTGTCCGTCTGGTTCCTCTGCCGCAGCCCCACGGGAATGCTCCCATCTGGGTCCGCCACGTCCAGCTCCTTCTCCAGCTCTTCCATCTCCTCAGGAGACAGGGTGGACAGGAGGCTGTCGATGTCAGGGTCCTCACTCACCTGCCGGCGGTACTTGGCTACCTTGGACATCTTGGCAAATGGAGCTGCGGCTCTCACCGAGAGTGGGACAGAACTTAGGCGCCCAGACGGCTCGCGAGCAGACCCCAAGTGGGTCAGGGACCGCAGCGCCCTGCCACAGGTGCTCAGTGGTCGCAGCAGCTTCGCTGCAGCCCAAGGGCTGGTGAGCCTTGCCCTGGCAGAAGCAGCGACCAATAAGCCCGAACAACTGCCCGGCCCTGAAAGGAGAAGCCAATCCCCAAGCTGGGGGCGGGCCTACCTCCCTGTCAGAGCTGTTTGAAACTTGAGGACATTCCAGGGAATCTTGGAGCGCTGCGTGACCAAATTTAGTACAGAACAGTTTAGCCTTTTAAAGACAAGGGGCCACGCGATGAGAAAAAGATACAAAAATGCAGAGGCTGGCAGAAGCCTACCATGGCCTCAGAGAGCCGGGAAAGCAGGACCAGGGCCACGGGTGCTGTGAACTAGCCAGCCCAAGGCATGCCCATTCAGGCACAGTTTACTTTTCGGTCACCAGTGGATGTCACTGCAGCCAGTGCATTTTCCATGGACTTCTCTACTGTATTTGGTAATGTGCCGGGGATGCCCGGGCCTCCACCCTGGGGAAGACACTCAGTTCAAGAGGAGGGGCCGATCCTCCCAACCTCCTGCCTACCCATTCTCTTCTGCCAAGGGCAATCTGAGTGCTAAGCATCAGAGGCTCCGGCCTGGGACAGGGGTGTTAGAACGTGCAACCAAACTGAAACCTGCAAGGCTGTCCGAGGAAGGGTGTAGGGCCGGCTGCAGGAGGCACGAAATTCTTAAAGGGCTGTAAATTTCAGAAGGCCTAAGACTCTCTGGAGGATGGTCCAGACCTCCCTCGGGTCTCTTGTGCTGGGGATCTGTGAGCCAGATCCCTTGGGAGCACAGGGGAGGAGCCAAGGGGTCACCATCCATGCAGAAATCCAGAGCACGATTTAGTCTGTCTTCGGGGAAGTACAATTCTGGGGCTTTGGGACACCTACTATTGCAACAGGCCTGGCGCATTTCATAGAAGAGCTTTTCGCTGCTCATCCATCATGCTGCCCTGTACAAGTCACAGGGACATTCGATCTCCTACCCCCCTCCCTCTGCCACAAAATCCCTTTGAGAGCCCTGGTGTAACCCATCGGGGTAGAAGCTTCGATCTTTCCTGGCATCTTTCCATCCTAAGCCAGAGAGAGACGGTCACTCGATCAGCATTTGCTGAGTCCAGGGATCATTTGGGAATAAAACTTGGCCATGGCACAGAATACCCACAAGTCCAGCTTTAGGTTGAGGCTGAGGAGGGGAATGGTCCTGACTACAGGGACCAGAGGACAGAAGTGAGGTAGGAAGACCAGAGAGGGAGGGTGGAAGAAGGGGTTAGAGAATCCTAGAAGTTCTTCTGGGGCTGGGGATTTGGCTCAATGGTTCCACCACCTGCCTCGCAAGTGCAAGGTCCTGTGTTTGATCCGCGGTACCAAGAAATTCTTTTTTTTTTTTTCTTTCCAGACAAGGTCTTACTAGGTAGTTTAAACTGCCCTCAAATTCATGGCAATCCTCCTGCCTCAGCCTTCCAGTAATACGGTTACAGGTGTGTCCCACCATACCGGGAATCCTAGTTCATTTTTAAGAGTCAGTCATGTGTGTGTTGGCCAATCAATAAGCATACATTGCTGGGCATGGGCGCACACACCTGTAATCCCAGCACTCAGGAGGCTGAGGCAGGAAGATCGCTGTGAGTTTGAGACCAGCCTGGGCTACATAGTGAGTTCCAGGTCAGTTTCAACTACATAGTGAGACTCTGTCTCAAAGAAACTAAAAAAAAAAGCATACATTCATTGAGTACCTATGATGTGTCAGGCACTGTTGAAGCCAGAGATGTCACTAACAATACAAATCCGTGTGGTCCCTGCCATTTTGGAGGTTACAGTCTATCAGTGAAGATGATTATTAAATCAATGACTTCAAGCAATCCATTAAATAATTAAAAGTCTGTAAAATTCCTCAAAAGAGAAATACAAGGGCTCTAAGAGGCTACATCAGAGGAGGCTGGTTAGCAGCATGGTCGCACAGGTGAGAGCTCTGCTCTGGAGGCCAGAAGACCGTGCAAGGTCATGGGACTGCTACTTACTGTCCATGTGACTTTAGGAAAGTCGCCTGCTCCTCTAGACTTGGCTTCTCCACCTGTAAAATAAGAACAACACCTGTACCCACACTGTAGGATTGTTGTGAACATTAAATTGTCACAGACATGAAAACACTAATCTGATACAAGGTAAACTTATATATGCTGTTTGATATATTTATTAGCAGTTGCTGTAATTATTTATACTCTTATCCTGGATAGTTTTCTTTCCAGACCACTTCTCCTGTCCTCTTTTTATTTCCTGTCTTCAGTAGTAACCACCTTCAATATACACATGTGCACACACACACGCACGCACGCACCCCTTCTCACCTGGTTCTTATTCACTCATCCACTCATTCTAGTATTTATTCAAGTATGTATCAATAGCACATGGCCAGACACCATGGGGCTGGGGAATACAAAAATAATTAAACATTGTTCTTCTCTTTAAACTGTATTATATAATGGGGTAAAAATGCTTATACTGTAAGGCAAAGGAAAGCAAACAAAAGAGGTATATGAAATCATTAAGAGCCCAGCAGAAGCCACATTAATTCTTTGGGGAGGAGTCAGGATGGGCATGGGCAGCCCAGAGGGGCTGAGGCCTCCTGTTCTGGGCCCAGTGATCTCTGCTCTAGGGATACACTAAAAAATAAATCCCACCAGGCATGGTGGCACACACCTGTGATCCCAAAGCTGAAGCAGGATGATCAAAAGTTCAAAGTCAGCCTGGGCAACTCAGAGAAATCCTGTCTCAAAATAAAATTTTTAATAAAAGGGGTAGGGCATAGTGGTATAGCACTTGCCTGGCATTCGTGAAGCCCTGAGTTTGTTCCCCAGCACCAAAAAAAAAAGAAAAAGAAAAATCCTAGCTTTCATACTCAAAGAGCAGGATTCACAGCTTCTCTACCAAAAGCATTTACACATGAACCTCCCTCATTTCTCTGTCTCAGGTCCCACCGTTCCAAACAGTGGGTGCCTCTGTGACTCAGTCTGAAGTCCTCTGATCCCCAGAACCCTAGGGCACTCTGAGACTGCTCACTAACTCTGAACATGCTATATTGAAAGACACTGCCGCCGAGGCTAGAGGATGTGGGAGCTCAAAGATCTGAACGAATGGCCTCCTGCAGCCCCTGCAACAGGAGGCCACCTAGGAGGCAATGCTCATCCAAGCTCAGCATCCACATCGACCAGAAATCAGGGATTCTGGCTTGGCCTAGTCCTCAGAGAAAAGCTGACATTGCAGGGGCCAGAGAAATGGAGAGAAACTCCAAGCTCCTATCAAGATGATTGGTGGGATGGGAAAAAGACAATAAGGACACAGAAGCTCTTTAACTCATGTTTAGGGGCTCTCTGTGTGGCCCCAGGAAAGTCACATTTTCAGGAGTAGGGGGTAGCAGTATAGTGTAGCAGATAAGACTACAGGCTCTGGAGTCCAAATGACATGGGCTCCAATCTGAGACCTGTGACCTTGGGTAAGTCATTAAACCTCTCTGAGCCATAGAGAATGGAGCATGAGCACATTAAAAAAGTATTTCCTAAGGGCTGGAGGTGTAGCCCTTGCCTAGCATGCACAAGGCCCTGTGTTTAATTTAAACCCCAGTACTGAAAAAAAGTATTAAGCTAAAGAGAAAAAGAGTACCTACTTAGTTATGGTGCTATGAAGTACATTAAATAATGCATGCAAAGCGTAACAGCATCAGACATGTAACAAGCGTTACTGTGCAAAATGTGACTTTTGCACACACGTGTACATGCGTGTACACACGTGTGCGTGTGCTCTGATGCAGAATAGCTAAAGCGGAGGCTAGACTGTGTGAGGTCACAAAAGAGAAACTGCCGCACTGATCCTCTTCCTTGAGATGTGAGCTTTCTCTAGAAGAAAGTGGCCGCCTCTTTCTCTGGAAACCAGCCACTGGCCTGGCCTGGCACTCCTGAGATGAGCAGAAATGGGCAGGGGAGAGGGGTCTGGCACAGACACAGGCCTGACCGATGTCTTCCTGAAAGGAAAGCTAGGGCAGAGAGAGAGAGAGAGAGAGAGAGAGACAGAGACAGAGACAGAGAGAGACAGAGAGAGAGACAGAGAGAGAGATTGCCTTTCCCTGCCTCATCCAGGCCGGGCTAAGATACCTCTGCCTACCCAACCTTCCCCAGTCACAGACGAACTCCAAGCCCCATGAGCCGGCTGTGAGTCCAGCCTCACTTATCTGGGGCCAGCTGAGTGTCTCGGTGACTTGGAGCAGGTGGGACTGTGGGATCTGAAGCCACAGTCGTGTCCTCTTGGTGGATGGGGGTTCCTGAGGCCCCAGGAGCCTCCAAGTTCACACATACTGAATGGCCGAGAGGGGCAGATTCTGGAAATGTCCATTCCCATCAGTACCCGCAACACAAGTGGTTCCGCCAACAGTCCCATCTTGGGGCTAGAGCACTAAGTTTCCCAAATCACGCCTTTCTGTGTTGAGTCACCGGTTCTAAGGCCCCTCCCTCCATGTTCTCTAGGACTGCTTTCTTCTCTCATTCCTCTGTATATATTTTTTTGTTGTTTGTTTGTTTGAGACAAGGTCTTGCTATGTAGCCCAGGCTGGCTTTGAATGCACAGTAATCCTCCTGCCTCAGCCTTCCGGGTTCTGGGATTACATATGTGTGCCACCACATCCAGCTAAATTGTCTTGACTGCCCTTGAACTTTCCATCTTCCCATCTCAGCCTACTGAGTAGCTCCTGATGACCAGGTGCAGCACAAATGGTTATGTTTGAGGGAGAAGAGGCACGTTCCTCTAACAAATGCTAAATCTGGGGCTTTTCCAGTCAAAAATGCCCTGCTACCTGTTGCAATTAAAAGAGGGCAGAAAATGAGAAGGCTGAGGATGCTTGCTAGCCACTAGTGCGGAGTCTCCCAGCATAGTGCACTCATTTCGAGTGAGGACTGTTGGATGAAGGCACCAAGGGTCTGGACTTCAGCTCTATTAACATAAACTCACCATGACGGCTAATTTCATATCAACTCCAGCAGGCCACAGGGTGCCCAGATTAAACCCAGTTTCTATCTGTGAGAGGAGTGTTTCTAGATATAAATAACACTCGAACCAGTGGACTCAGGAAAGTAGACTGTCCTTCCTGATGTAACTGGGCAGTGCCCAGCCCAGTAAGAGCTCGTGCAGTGGAGAAGAGGGCAGGGGATTTAGCTCAGTAGCGCTGTGCCTGCCTGGCAAGTGCAAGGTCCTGAGTTCCATTTCCAGTACCAAAATTTTTTTAAAATTTTAAATAAATAAATAAATAACGTGGAGAAGAGAGAATTCTTCCCTAGCTCTACCTCCCTGCTGGCCTGGAACACATCTCATTTTCTCCTGCCTTCAGACTAGGATTTCCATCATGGGCTCCCCTGGTTCTTGGACCTCTGAGCTTGGGTGAAATTACCCAAGCAGCTTTCCTAGATCTCCAGCGTGCACATGCAGATCATGGGACTCCACAGCCTCAAAATTAGGATGAGTCAACTCCTCATTAACTCTACCCATCTATGTACTATTTATTCTATTTCTCTGGAGAATACTGACTGTCCTTGGTGATTGAGTCAAAAGAACCAAGTTCACAAAAGGCAAATGCATAAACCAGTATTAACTTCCAGCAGGAATAGTTATGAGCACAGGCCTGGGCATTCACTCCTACATATAAATCTATTCCAAAGCTAAATAATAATCAGAAGATTGCTTAATAAATGTGGTAGAAGAGCTTTGAATATCAACTGTGTGAAGCTCTTAGCAACTACACATAGGTCCTTTAAGAAGCACAGAAAGGTACCTAGAGCTAAAGGATATTTCATCTGGTTCCTGGTAAGACCTGAAAAAAATTCCTGCCCCACGAGAATGCACATCTCTCATTATTGAAATATTTATGCCATCAGTTCAGAGGTGCTGACTGAACATCAAATTCTTCCTGCCTTGCTCCTTCTGGGCTCCGCGCTGCCCCTCTCCTGCGTCCTCTCTTCAGCCTGTACAATTGATTAAAGCTTCTTGATTGCAGTCACACATCCCATATAGGCTTTCTTTAATTTACACATCTAAAACAAATGATTCATTTGATGGGCCAGATTTAGCTCAGTGGTGCCACCCCCTGCCCAGCACAAAAAAAGAAAGAAAGAGAGAGGAGAGAAAGAGAGAGAGAGAGAGAGAGAGAGAGAGAGAGAGAGAGAGAGAGAGGGAGAGAGATTCATTTGAACTGTTCCTCTCACATACAATACACTTTTACTGATGCTCTTCTGTGCTCTGGAAGGCTCAATTCATCTGCTTACCTTATTTCCAACTATTTGGAGGGAACCTTACTCGACGTTGCAGTCTTCTATTATTTATTATACTGACTTTTCTGTAAGATGATACGCATTTTAAAATCAACAGTGCAAAGCCGGGCGTGGTGGCTCACGCCTGTAATCCCAGCATTTGGGAGGCTGAGGCAGGAGGACCGCTGTGAGTTCGAGAGCAGCCTGGGCTACATAGTGAGTTCCAGGTCAGTCTCAACTACATAGTGAGAACCTGTCTCAAAAATAAAAAATAATAAATATAAAACAAAAAATCAACAGTGCAGAATGGAGAGGAGTTCCCTTCACAGTCATCACATGACTGGGTTCCGCTAGCTCTAAGTTAAAAGGAGCAGATAGCTCCCTAATCCTTTGCAGTCTCTTTTCTCTGGGCGAAAAACATCCCTCACACCACCTGGTGATTGTTGGAGGAGGAGGCTGAAGAGGCTGTGGTCCATCAAAGCGAGGGGCACACATTGGTCACGGTCCTCCAGATGGCCCACTAGCTTAACATTTATTGGCATTTATTACATTTCCAGGCCCTGGGGATATAAGCGGCGGAGACCCCAGGGCTACACGCAGTTGCTAGGAGATTCACAGTTCACGGCAAATTGGGTAGCATTAATTCACAGTTGACTACAAACGTACTTTTTAAAGTAAAAGAAAGGCACAGTATTTAAGAAGTTTGCTGAACCCTAGCGGAATAATATCAGGTATTTCCAGTCCAGAACCTCCAGCGACTGAGTAATCCAAACCCTGTCACTTGCGAGCTTCCTCTCCCACACAGCGCAGACCTCCGCCTTCGAGGACTTGGGCGGGGAAAGTCCCGCCCACACGCTGATCCCGCCCCGAGTCCTGGCTCCCATTGGCTAGGGTGGAAACAACTAGCCAATCCCCACAGATCTTAATGACCTCCTCTCGGGATCACTTCCTCCTATGAAGTCAGTTTCCGCCCTGCTCACCCGGCTTCGCTCCCTGTGCTGCGAGTCAAGATGGAGGAGTACGCTCGGGAACCTTGGTGAGCCTTATCCGCTGTCCTTGGCTTTCTTTTAAACCTTTCCACGGCCCTCATTTTCCCAGGCTCAGTCTCCCGAGATGTAAGCCGAGCTCAGCCGCAGGCCTCGTCGACGTAGGCTTGGTAACCTCGGGCAGTGGGGACGTGAGCGGCCAGGTGACTTCTTCAGCCCTCTCCGGCCCCAGACCAGCACCCTGTGACCTTGCGGTGAATGACGATGAGCAGGCCCAGGCCTCGGTGGACAGAGTCTGGGGGCCTCCTCCCGACGCAGGCCACTGTCGACCTGTTCAGGGTCGGCAGGAACCTCTCTGCCCGCCGAGGTGACCTTGGACGCGTCCCCGCGCGCCTCTGCTCAGTTTCTGCGCCCAGGAAGGGAAGTACTCCATGGGAGTACTGCTCTTGACACCTTGTGTGTGTCGCGATGTCCACAGGGTGAAGCATTTCAAATGATTGGAACGTAAATTTCTCCCCAGGAGTCTGGATAAGCTCGTGTAGGCTGGAGCTTCACTTTCTTACTTGGAATTCTTCCTTTGGGAAGGAGGGAGGCAGATTATATATCTCTGGAAAACATAAAGAGGTAGTTAGTTGGGTGGGTTCTCCGAAAAGCTACGAACGACAGTTCATTCATTCAGCATTTATCGAGTGAGGACGCTGTTAGCCCAGGTTCAAGGAATAAAAACATGAAAAAACAAGGCTTATAAAACAGTGTGAACAGCTGTTAGAAGTTCGGAGTTTCTGGGATCATAAATGAAAAATCAAGTCTTGTTTTTTGGATTATTCGTTCCTTTGTGAGAGCAAGAACCAAGGTATCCTCAAGTTGTGAAAATGCACAGAACTTGTAAACTATTGCCGTGCTAGCTGTAGCCATGTTGCTTAGTTTGTGCCCCGCTCCCCGAAGACGTGTAAATCTTCAACACCTCCTGGCCCTTCAAACCCTCCCTTTTTAAAAAACAGTTGTTTCCTTCCTGTACTGTGCTTGAATATGCAGGGCTCGGCACACCATTACTTGTTGGATACATGATAATGTTACACATCAGCAGGGGGATAAAGTAATTTTGTTACGTTAAAGATCTTATGAAATAATGGGTTTAATGAATTCTGTTTTAAATTGGAATAAATTTTCCAAAATAAAATAATGGGTTTTCAGTAGGTAGCCCCCGTCTCCTGGCGCATATGTACTGAAACAGTACAGTCATCTGGTTAATTTTATAGTCAAGCTGCTCTGATCTTCTGCCCTGTTTAGTTATAACATTCTCGAAAAACTAAGCTCAAATATTGTCTCTTTTTTCTCCTATGGGCCGTGTCCACAAGTGCAGTCAGAAATCTTTGAAAAATGTCTGCCTGCCCCTCTCCCTCCCTGTCCTCTCTCTCACTTCTCTCTTTGAACCAGGGCCATATTCATGCTAGATAACTGATGACTTTACCTGGCGCCCATAATGCTTTCTATAGTAGCTTCCTATTACTTTCCTGATCTTCAGCACTGCTTAAAACAGCACGTAGGTGTAATCATTCTAAATACTTCTTTGTATTATATGTTCTCTTCTCAAAAACTCTTAGGCTATAGGGAACAGCTGAAAGCGTTTTGGGGCTTTGGAGTCCAAGTTCTGTACTTAAATTCATTCTACTAGTTTTTACATATATCACCTTGGTCAAGTTACTTAATCTCTGCCTGAACTTCAGTTCTTCTGTAAAATGGAGAGGAGACAGGAATATTCTTTTGCAAAGTTAAAACATGATTTTTTGCTAGGCAGGCACCGCTGAGCTAATTCCCTGGCGCAAGATTATGAATTCTAAAGGAATACAACTCAGCTTTTTTGGGTACTAAAGTTTTATTTGCATTATAGGACACCTAAAACAGTTAATACTTGGGCCTGGGATATAGCTCAGAGGCACTGCACCTGCCTATCAAGTACAGCTTCCTGAGTTCAATTCTTGGTACCATAGAAAAAGCACATAATTAATATTTAAATGTTAACTTTTGATCTTATTACTGTTTGCTTGCCACTTGGGTTTTTGGTTTGTTTTGTTTTTGCTGTAGTAGGGACAGATCTAGGGCCTGCTCTCTGAGTTCTAAGGCTGGTCTTAAATTTGTGATTGTCCTGCCTCAGCTTGCCAGGGTGCTGGAATTTCGCATGTACACTCCATGTTTGGCAACATTTACATTCTTGCAGAGTGTGAGTTCCTTCTCCCTTCTGGGTAGCCCATCGCTTATCCATAGGAACCTTTTGATTTAGCCAGACTTTTTTTTTTTTTTGGTACCAGGGATTGCCGGGCATGGTGGCGCATGCCTGTAATCCCAGCACTTGGAGGCTGAGGCAGGAGGATCGCTGTGAGTTTGAGACCAGCCTGGGCTACATAGTGAGTTCCAGGTCAGTCTCAACTACATAGTGAGACCCAGTCTCAAAAATAAATAAATAAAATGTATGATTGCGTACAGGGCTTAGGGCTCACCCTGCTCCCTAGAAGATTGAGTCAACATTGTTGATTGCAGTGTAATTTTCTATGTATTTGTTCATTTGCTTATTTGCTTTGTTTGTTTGTTTGTTTGTTTGTTTGTTTTTGAGACAGGGTCTCACTATGTAGTTGAGACTGACCTGGAACTCAACTGTGTAGCCCAGGCTGGTCTCGAACTCACAGCGATCCTCCTGCCTCAGCCTCCCGAGTGCTGGGATGACAGGTGTGCGCCACCACACCCTGCTGTTCATTTGCTTTTGCCCAGTGCCAGACTTATAACTGACTTTAAAAAGCAGGTGCAGTGATGGTCAATGATTGTATGAAGTGCTGTTACGAGTTTGGATGTCAGTGCTATTTCCATTCCTTCTAGGTAGGATGACTTGGGGCCAAATAGATACAGATATTTTCAGAGTTCTTTATCTTTGTCTACATTTCGTAGGTCAGATGTTAACTGGCTGCACTGGGCCCTGTATTAGAATGGGTTGCATCCCTTACTGGATTAGCGAAGAAGTTTATGGTTTAGGGATGAGAAGTAAGATAATCTTTTCCCCCTCCCCTGTAGCCCCTGGCGAATTGTAGATGACTGCGGCGGCGCCTTCACGATGGGTACCATTGGTGGCGGGATCTTCCAAGCAATCAAAGGTTTTCGGAATTCTCCCGTGGTAAGTAGGTGCTTGGTCTGGGGGCTTAGTAATATTCCTGGCAGCTCTACCAGGGGATTAGAAATGTGTTACATGCCTAATGTATTAGTTTGGGTTGCTCTTTTGTTACAGGGAGTAAACCACAGACTACGAGGGAGTTTGACAGCCATTAAAACCAGGGCTCCACAGTTGGGAGGCAAGTAAAATTGTTACATCTGTGCTGTAGTTTGTTTGAAGATGAAACTTTTCTTTCTCCTTTTTTAGAAGACTGTGCCAGGTAGTGATTTTAGTTTGATCTAACAGCTTGTCGCAAAATAATATCTCCTTAGGTTCTCCTTTATTTATGTTCGGAAAGCTGATTTAAGTTATTGTATCCATTTGACAGTCTTAGCTCTGTCCTTCAGGTGTTCAGCGTTTCCCCACCCCCTTTTCTCCAGAAGGAAGGCAAAGCCTTAGAGGTCAGGGTTAGGGTCAGGAATGAGAGTGTCTGGGGTAAATAAAGCTGAAGAGAACTTAATCTGGGGGATCAGGGTTTCATAAGAGAAACTGAGCTGCTGGGCTCTTCTGCAAAATCAGTGCAAAATGTCAAAAGATTATGTGCATTGCACTTAGAAAACTTGGTTTTTTGGAAATTGGGAAAAGGGAGATGATGAAAAATGTAGAAATTATATTCCTGTACCACATGTACTGATGGAATTATATTCATGTAGTCAAATTGAAGACACCTGACTATTTTTCTTAAGACACAACTACTTGTCATTCCTTCAAAACAAAAAGTTTAGGGCTGGGAACAGTGCTAGAATACTTGCCTAGCATGCCTGAGGCCTGACTGGATCCCCAGCACCAGGGAAAAGGTGGGGGTGATTCCGATGTACCTAGACAGTATGCCCCTGGGACGTGGGCTTACTGAGTAACTCTTTTTTTAATGTATTTTGAGATATCTGATAACGGAGAGAAATTAAGGAGCTGTATGTTGTGGTGGCTGAGGCTACCAGCTAAAGGTAGGTCATGTCTGCTAGCTTTATGATTAACATGAGAACTGAAAGAGGATCCTGGAGATGATCTGGTTCAGACGTTTGATGGGATCTAGTTTATTTCATTAATGCATCTAGTTAGCCACTATCCTGAGATTTTAGATAACTAAGAATGAAGTGATTTGGGGCCTGAGTATTGGAAAACACACTATTTTGTTACCCAGAAATGTACACTGTGAAAATCTTAATGTCTTTGCCAGATTTTGTTTGTATGGAGTGGGGGGCTTGGTTTATTTTACAGAATTGTTTTCATATTTAGGTAGAGTTTAAATACACAGTAAACAATCTACTGACTTAGTTATTTTTAGATTTATGCTTGAGAAATAAAGACAAAGGAGATTCCATAATTCTGACTATTCATATCATTCATTTGCTGTTTGGATTTGTATTGTCTTATGTAATATATTGCAAAATAGCTGGATTTTTTTGTTTTTCTATTAGTGATTTTAATAAAGTAGGTTCTCTGTGTCACTTGATGAATAAAGGAAAAAAATAAAGATAAGTGAAGTTACAAAAGGAGAAGAAAGGAGGAAGCAGAATAATTTTACTTTTAATATTGCTGTAATTTAAACATGTTCTATAAAGGTAATTTACATGATTTTAGATATGTACAGCCTCTTTGAGACCTGGCTTATTTCTCTTTTGGGGGGGCGGAGTTTGAGACAGGGTCTCACTGTGTAGTTGAGACTGACCTGGAACTCACTATGTAGCCCAGGCTGGTCTTGAACTCACAGCGATCCTCCTGCCTCAGCCTCCCAAGTGCTGGGATTACAAGTATGCACCATGACGCCTGGTTTCTGGTTTATTTCTTTATGTTCTTTTTTTTTTTTTTCTTTGCAGTGCTAGGGACTAACCCTGGGGCTTTGTATGTACTAGGCAAGTATTGTGCTGTTGAGCTGCACCCACAACCTCTGGCTTATTTCTTTTATTGAGTTGTTGCTAATTTTCTAGTTGATACAGTAAAACCCAAGCTTTATTCAAATGATAGTTATTCTGATTTTTGTTCAGTGTTTATTCAGACTTGTGTCTCCATGTATTTGTTTAGAGTAGAAGAGTTTTGATAACATTTGAAATATGAGGTGACATTTAAATTAATCTCTGTTGTCGGGTGTGGTGGCGCACGCCTGTCATTTAATGGAAGTAAAACATGGAACAATGAAGAAATAGCAAGGGTATTTCTTATCACTCACAGATCAAGAGATAGAACGTGATTAGCCTCTGGGAAGGGACCTCCTATCCCTTCTTAAACTCTATCCTGGCCCCTGGCTCCCGGCTCACAGGTAGCCAGCGTATCAGTTTCTAATACTAGAGACTAGTTTTATTTTTCAGCCATGTATACGTGGGAAAAATCTGCAGTTTGGCCTCTTTTATATCTGACTTCATTTGTTTGCATGGTAAGGTTCATTGATGTTAATGCCTTTCGTTATTATATATTAACACACTGTGCAAATATACAGCACTTGGGAGACTGAGGCAGGAGGATTGCTATGAGTTTGAGACCAGCCTGGGCTACACAGTGAGTTCCAGGTCAGTCTCAACTACATAGTGAGACCCTGTCTCAAAAAAACAAAAATAAATAAAGAAATTAATTAATTAATCTCTGTCAGGCTGGGGATTTAGCTCAGTGGTTCCACCGCCTGCCTCGCAAGTGCAAGGTCATCCCAGGTCCCCCCCTCCACAAATTATTTAATTAATTGGTCTCTGTTTATTTTTTAAATAAAACAGGTAGCTTTGCAGTTTGGGGAGGTCTGTTCTCCATGATTGACTGTAGTATGGTACAAGTCAGAGGAAAAGAAGACCCCTGGAATTCCATCACAAGCGGTGCCTTAACAGGGGCCATCCTGGCAGCAAGAAGTAAGCGGCCTTGTGTATGTGTGCGGGGGCCATACTGTTGCAAAGACCTCATGTCTTCACCCTAATGACATCTGTAATGTCTGAGGCTGAGCACTGCTTGGTTTGAGATAGCATGAGTGAGTGTGGTAGGCTGGAAAAAGGAAGGGGGCTGTTTACCCGAAACGCTTGCAAATGAGGGAGCTTGGAGCCCACGTATAGTGTGGTTAAGAGCACTTCTGTTCCTGCTTTTGGCCATTAGCTGTGTGACTGGGCAGTGTGCCAAACTGTGCTTAGTGTCATCAGTATTCTAGAATTAATAATGCCTTCCACATAGGATTATTAGGAATAGAGTTTAAACCTGTCTTCTGAATCTTTGGGACAGGCAGCAAACCAGAATCCCTTTGAGCTTAGTGGTTTAGATTGATGGTTTGTTTGTAAACTTTTTTTTTTTTTTGGTTCCAGGGATCAAGCACAGGACCTTGCACTTGCAAGGCAGATGCAGTGCCACTGAGCTAAATCCCTGGCCCTTTAAACTTTTTCTGCAAAAGGCCCGGTAGTAAATATTTCAGGCTTTCTGGGCTATGTGATTAGCTGTGCTGTCACAGTGCAAGAATATCCACAGGGAGTACATAATTAAAAGAATATGGCTGTATTCCTTTACAGCTTTATTTACAAAAACAGACAATAGGCTGGATTTGACCTGTGGGCTATGGTCTGTTGACTGTAGGTCTTAGACAATAAGAAAGCATTTAGGGGTGGGAGCAGCACATACAGTGCAGAAGCTCCTCCTTTAGTGTAACCTCTTTGTTGTGTTACTGATGTCTTCAGATGGACCAGTGGCCATGGTTGGCTCAGCCGCGATGGGTGGCATTCTCCTAGCTTTAATCGAAGGAGCTGGTATCTTGTTGACAAGATTTGCCTCTTCACAATTTCCCAATGGTGAGTCTTTTCTCTGCTTAATACCGCAGCTAAAATACTTTGGAATGGTTTCCTAATATTAAAAAAAACCAAACATATTTTGTCTGCTAAAATGGGGTAGTTTGCGATTTCTACATTAGGTGTGAACATTAGGCCTTGAACTGTAGCCTAGGCTGGTCTCAAACTCATGATCCTCCTGTCTAAGCCACCCGCGTGCTGGGGTGGAAGGTGTGCACCACTGTACGTGGCACCGGTTGTTTTAAGGATGTTTGAAGGATGATTCCACAGAGGTTTTTGTTCAACATTCTCTTGCAATACATGTATACGCCAGGTGCTGGAGATACAGTAGGAAACGAGACAGTCCCTGCCTTCAGAGACTTAGATTCTGGCAGGATAAAACAAGACTAACACATTAGCAGATCAAAGACAATAAAATACAGTGGAAGAAAGTGAATCGTGTTTGGGAGGAGGATCACTGTAGGTTTCACTGGAAAGTCTCTGAGATTCAGTAATTTGATGCTAATTGTTCCTCTAGTCTGATGACTGGGGGAGAAGTAAAATCGTAGACTGGATGGTCATTACATAGTCATGTAATATTTGTCTAACTGTTAGGCTTAAACCAGGCATGGTGGTGCACCTCTGTAATATCAGGCCGAGGCAGGAAGATTGCTATGAGTTTGAGGCCAGCCTGGGCTATACAGTGACCCTGTCTCAAAAAATAAATCTAACAAAAGAACCTGCTAACTTGTACAGTTTTAACTATCAAAAAATTTCATTGTTTATTTTTTTTATTTTTTTGGTACCAGGGATTGAACTCAGGTCCTTGCGCTTGCCAGGCAGGCCACTGAACCGCTGAGCTAAATCCCTGGCCCTAAATTTCAGGGAGACAGGCAGCATAGTGAGACATGTTGAAAATTATTTGGGGGCTTGGAACAGATTCAGCATAGGGTTAGGAATACAGAAATCCTCCCGATTCAGTTTGATTTCCCTGAGCACTGAAGGAGAGATTCAGTCATTAGCTCTGAGTTTGACACTCTGATAGTTACTTTCTCATTTTGCTTTTTAGTTTGTTTTGATCATTTTAGTGTGAAAGACCACATGAAGCCAAGAGGGCTGCGCACTCTGGGGTGGTGGAGGAGGATCGCAAGAGCGAACGTGCAGCTTAGTGACTTAGCATGACCTTTCTCAAAGTAAAAACTTTTAAATGGGGCTTAGAATATAGTTCAGTGGTGAAGGCCCTGAGTTCAGTTCCCAGTACCATTAAAAAGAAACAAAAAAAAAGATTTCACACAAAACATCAAAAGGTTTCTATATTTTTCGAAGTGGACATAACAAAAACTTAGTTATATTGTCTTTTACAAATTAGCCCTGGTTGCTTTGCTTTAAGCCTTTTTCCTCAAAGTAAATCTCCTTATTGATTAGAACTCACTGTTCATATAGAAGCAGCTAAAAGTAAGCCTATTTTTAGGCAAAAGATGTGGCTTTTTATAAAGCTCTATAGGGGGACATCTTTGAAAAGTTAGTATTTTTCCAGTTACACAGAAAAATTCTTAAAACAATGATAAAAGATTAGCTAGAACTGTATATGTAAATGGTAATAATTACCACCTTTGGCTTATCTTTTACTGTCAGTCCTTTCACATTTTCTATAATGAGCAGATAATTGCTTTTGTAGCGAAATAAAAGTGTATCAGTAGAGTGATATATTTGGAAAACTTCAGGGGATTTTACTACTGAATTTTACTGTTTTAATTCTTGTTTGTTTTCTTTAGGATTTTGGGAGGCTTTTGGTTTTTTTCTTTGTTTGTTTTGAGATAAGGTCTCTGTATAGTTGTAGTTCAAGCTGGCCACAAAGTGGCAGCGGCCTCCCTACCTCATCCTCCTGAGTGCTGGAATTACGAGTGTGCACTATCTTTAACTCTTCTTTCCAGTTATTTTCTTGTCTGCTTCAGTTTCCCTAAAGAAAAAAATTGATTATTTCTCTAAGTCTTTTAAGGGGGCTGAGGATGTAGCTCAGGGGTGCCACGCCTTCCTGGCAAGCACAGGGTCTTGAGTTCAATCCCCAATACTGCCAAAATAAACAAACAAACAAATAAATAATAAATATCTTTTAAAAGCCACTGCCCTCTCCTCTTAGTTCCCAGGCCCTCTAATCCTTTTTGTGGGGGGCGTTGTTTTGAGGCAGGGTCTTGCTATATAGTTCAGGGTGGCCTTGAACTCACTGTGTGGCCCAGGCTGGTCTCGAAGTCATGGTGATCCTCATACCTTAACCTCTCGAGTCCTCTAATCTTTTGAAAATTAAACCTCAAGATTTTGTTCTGTGGCAACCTAGGCTGAATTTTCCCATTTTAGAGCTCATTTCCTACCTAATTGGTTATATAAATTATATCACTGAGTTATTTTAAAATAAGGCTAAGGAGGCCAGGCATAGTAGAATATATAGAATCCTAGCACTTGGAAGACTGAGGTGAGGGATCACCTCAACTTCAAGGACAGCCTAGAATACTTAGCAAGATCCTATCTCAAAAACAAAAAACACCCCAGCACTCAGGAGGCGGAGGCAGGAGGATCACTTTGAGTTTGAGACCAGCCTGGGCTACATAGTGAGTTCCAGGTCAGTCTCAACTACATAGTGAGACCCTGTCTCAAAAAAAAAAACAAAATATGGCTAAGGTACTTAAAGTTTGTGAAAAATACTTTTAAATTATTTCTGAAAATGTGTTAAGAGGTGGGAGAGATTCCTCTAACCCTGACACGTGGCAGCTTGCTACAGCAGCTGCCTTCCTTGAGTATTGCTTCTTGCTGTCATGAATCCATCTGACCTTCCTGGCATAACATTGGAGAGCTGTCCATCGTGAAACAAGACCGCCTGTCACGTCATACCAAATCTGAAGCTTCTCCAGACCTCTCACGGGATTTGGCCCTGAGATGTACAAATTCAGATCACAGCTCTAGTGTAGCACAGACTTTTCAGGTTAACTGGTTTACTTTCTACAGAGACTTAACCTTTTCTATTATACAGTATCTGCATTCTCTTTATAACCCTTTGTAATTTTAATTGCAGGCCCTCAGTTTGTGGAAGACCCTTCCCAGTTGCCTTCGACCCAGTTGCCATCTTCACCTTTTGGAGACTATCGGCAGTATCAGTAGGACTCATCTCCTGTATTTTTGTTTTATTTTGTTTTTTCAACAAAATGAGCTGCAGTTGAAGGCTTTAAGAAGATCAAGTTACATTCTGTTTTTAATACCGTAGGTGGGACAACTGTGGCCAACTAGGCTATGAAGAGACATTTAGCACTTTTTTCTATTTAAAGGAATGTGGAGGGGGGATAGAAGATACTGCATTTATTTATTCACACTTGGATTGCATTTGTGAGCAAAATAAATGTCTCATGTCATTAAAGGAAAATATAGTAAGTGCTTAGAAGATGAAGGACCAAAGGGCAAATTACAGTGAAACATGACCATCATTTCCTTGGGGACTTCTCTGCCTGGTTTGATGTGTGCTCTGACTCAGACAATAAAAGCTCCTGGAACTTTTCTTTTAAGATAAGTTGTAGAATTCTACTTTTCATACTTCACCTAATGCATGTTTTATAGTAGTCCCTAATCTCACTTGAATTAGGTGGAAGAATTGTCCAGTCAGCACGATTCCTTTCACAGTGAAACGCTCTGTAGATTAAGGATGTACTCAAATACTTGTCCTTTGAAAGTAAAATACAGGGTATGCTGTCTTGGTTTTGAGAGTGCTGGATACAAGACTGTTACCTTTAGGGCCACTGTGTCTTGATTCCTGGTCATGAGAAACCTCCCCAGAAACAACTTGGTTCCATTATTCTCAGTTCTATATGAGAATCCATGCAGGGGAAAGTCTGGTGTTCATTGTATGCTTGCAAATAAAATACGTGTTGTTTTTAATGTGTTCCAAATCCCTTAAACTGATCTTCAGAGGGAGTGTGTGGTGGGTGTGGTGGGGTCTGATTGCGCCTGGAAATTGCATTGGCGTTTTGGAGTAGGCTGTTTTCCTGAGTGTGGTGGAAGTGACCCGGGGCTTTAGAAGGAACGAGGTTAGTAAATCCCCACTTGCCTACATTGCTGTTTTTATGAGATGAAGAACAAATCCTTGAGGGTTCTGTTAAACACATTTGTCTTTTAGCACAGTGCCATACGTACACGTAGTGAGCACTTAATTACTACTTGTGATTTAATAATTATAGTTTTCATTGTGAAATGTACATAAAATAATATCATAAGCATTCATAAGTGTACAGCCCAGTGTCAATGGAGCACGGGCACAGTGGTGTTTAACTGTCACTCCTGTTAAACAGTAACGCCCATTCTGCCCTCCCTCCAGGCTCTGGAGCCTTGATTCTGCTTTCTCTCTGAATTTGCCTGTTCTAGGTACCTTATGTATGTGGAATTGTATAGTATTGTCCTTCTGTGACTGTCTTGATTCACTTAGCATGATGTTTCAGGGTCCATTCGTGTGGTGGCATAGATCACACTGCATTTTAATGACTGACTGTCCCATTGTGTCCAGGTACTGTTTATTGCCTCATCTTTTTTGGTCACTTGAGCTTTTTCCAAAATCTTTTGGTTATGGTGAATTATGCTGCTATGAACATCCATATACAAATGTCCGAGACTTACCTTGTAGTTGTTCTGAGTGTGTAGCTAGCAGTGAGGTTGCTGGGTCATATGATAATTCTATGTTTAACTTTGGCCGACTGCCAGACTGCTTTCCACAACTACTACACTATTTTAGATCCCCAAGAGCAGTCCAAGAGGGTTCCAGTTTCCACATCCTTGCCAACATTTGTTAGTTTCCTTGTTTTTTTCCTTCATTGCTGGGAATCAAACCTAGATTCTCTTTCCAGGCAAGCGCTCTACCATTGAGCTACACTCCCAGTTTTGACACCCTAGCATGTGTGAAATGGTACCTTACGGTTTTGATTTGTGTTTTAAAGATAATAAGCTTTTATGTGCTTATTGGCCATTTGTATGTGTATCTTTGAAGATAATTTTTGTATTTTTGGAGAGTCTTCAGCCTTCAATTTGTATATCAGAAGAGCAATTTAAGCAGAACATGTTGAATTGCAAATAAAATGTTTTCTTGAGGTCTAAATTCCTTATTTTTTATTTTGATTTTTAAAACTTCCTTATTTTTTAAAGGCGTGTCAGTTTGGAATATAAGTCCCTTTTCATATGAATTCCGATTCTTTGAGGCTGGTTTATATGTGATGATTCTATGTTTTTGCCATTTTATTCTTTAACTCTTACATCTTCAGCATATCTGAGGCCTTTTTTTTTTTTTTTTTTTTTTGGTTTTTTGAGACAGGGCCTCACTATGTAGTTGAGACTGACCTGGAACTCACTGTGCAGCCCAGACTGGTCTCCAACTCACAGTGATCCTCCTGCCTCAGCCTCCGAGTGCTGGGATTACAGGCGTGCGCCACCATGCCTGTCAAGTAGGGTTCCACTCTTGTTCAATGCTGGAATTTCATGTTTCTTCCTGTTGGATGACTAAACTGGATGACGGTAGAGATTTAAAGAGCATTTACTCTGCTCCTCCCTGCTCCACGTGGGGGAAGAGGAATTCTCCGCAGGGGGGTCCATTGTGTGGTGTCCTTGCCATCCCTGTGCAGTGCTCCCCATCTTGGCACAAGCCTTAGCCATACAGCAATGGGCCTCCATTATGTTTTCGCCCTTCTAGAATCAGCTGGGTGAGGGGGGAGTCCCTGGAAAAACTCGATTCTCAAGGCTCACGCTGAGCCAATAAGCACTTTCCAGAGGGTGGCTATGATCATCGATGATAAATGAATGTGCATCGAATCCTGGAACTCCTGCCCCGCTTCTGCCCTCCTCTTCCCCAGGACCAACTAGAAAATGTTTGAGGTCTGCGCGAGATGAAATACATAGCTCCTTCCTGTTAAGAAATGAAAAACTCTTAGCTGAGGTGACGTTTTCGTCCCAGGCGCCGGCTTTTCTCTCCCTAATTGAGCCCTCGCCAGCCCCTCCTGGGAGCTGCGGAGGCGGTGGCCCAGCCTGGACTCGGACTGGGACAGGACAGAGCGGAGAGGACAGAAGGGGGGCGCGGGTGGGGAGCAGCAGCCCCCGGAGAAGGTTCACACCCCTTCCCGTGACAGGCACGGCGCCCTCCTCTGTGCCCTGGGCGCAGGGGCGATCCCGGCTGTTCCGCTGGGTGTACGCAGGTTGGGGCGCGGTGGGCCGGGACTGAGGCCAACTCACCTGACCGGGGGAGCCCGGGTGCGGCCTCAGCCAGCGCCCCGGTGTGGCAGCGGGGACAGAGTCATCCTCCGTCTGAATGAATTCCAGTTTCATTCTATTGTGGGTTGAGAAAAAACCTTCCTGACTTACATCCTGCAAAAGAGAGAGCCCGTTTCGTGGCCCACAAGTGTTTCTCTTCCTCGGTTTCTCTCCGCTGCCTCGGGCAGGGTCCAGCAAAGGTCAGCGAGGCCCGGCTGCCTAACTGCACTCCAGGGGCCCCGAGTCTCTCAGTCAGTGCACCCCGAGCGGAATGGGCCGAGCCAGTGGAGACACCGGCCGCTGCGTCCACCCTGGGCCCCGGGCCTCTGCCGAAGGCCGTGTAACTCGTCTACGACACCTGCCGGGCACGAGGTCATGAAGGTGCCTGAAAAGTCTCAAGTGGCTGGTGTCACGCAGACCACACTGACCGCAGACGAGAGCGGGCTGGAAATCGGTAAAGAAAAACATACGGGAAAGGAGCGCATATAATTGGAACATTTGAAAAAGCTTAAAAGGGAAGGAGCGGCAGAAGGTGTGAGGTCTGGGTGAGCTTTCTCTGTTAGCAAAACTTCTTACCAGGGCTTGCAGTTTGTTGACATTTTGGAGGAAAAAATCAGGTTTAAAGTTCTATTACAAATTTAAAATGACGTTTATAAAGTCTCGGCCAGCTATGAGACAATTTGAAAACCTTTAGAGGTGCACTGAGAAGACAGGCTTTTTGAAAGAAGCAGACCCTGCCCTCCTGTAGGGCTGGGCCTGGGCCTGGCGAGGCCGTCCTGCAGCTGTGCGGCCCGAGGCACAGCTGGATCGCCCTTGGGGGCCCGGGTGACGATCTCAGGGATGGAGATCTGCTCCAGCATCCCGGGGAGGGGACACAAGCAGCCGCGGGTGAATCACAGCTCAGTGTCCTGGGGTCCCGGGCCCCTCAGGGCCTCATAAAAGCCCTGAGCAGCTCTGCACCTGAGATGGCGCCCGGCCTGTGCAGCTCCCAGTCAGGATTTCCTTTAAATAGCAAGGCCGTTAATAATAAACACCAGAAATACGTAAACGTTAAGGTATGTACTTTACACAAAGGTGGACAAAACCCAAGGACTTCGTTTATTATAATAAAACTTCATCTCCAATCTAAAGAAAATGTAGTTTATTAAAATGTATGACAGTACTTTCTATTCATATGTAAATGGGTTATAGAGATAGATGATTAAGTACAAGTGTTTTCCCCTCCACAAATACGTCATTCGGGGTATTCAAGCGCTCTGCCACAAGTGCACGATTCTTTGCTGGGCTCTTCGGCCTTGTGCACCAAATCACTGATGAAAAATGAGCGCCGCACGGCCCCACGGTGCCCTCTAGCGGTCAGTACCACGTCGTTGGCTCCCCGGGTCTGCAGGGACCTGGGGCGCTTGGTCAGTACCTGCCTACCTCAGTCCTAATTAGAGGTTTTGTCTTGGGCAGGGGCGGCAACTATTGATCCCTGAGCTCAGGCTAAAGTTTCTCTGATGTGAGAACCCCTTCACTGAATCCGCATGTGACAGTGAACCGACTGTGTCCCCTGGAGTAGGAAACACCCAACTAAATCGGATCAGCATGGTTCCTGGTGTGGCTGGAGGGACTGAAGACAGAAGCCCCACCCTGGGTGTGAGTGGCACCGACCTACTATTAGGCTTTGCCGCTGCATGGAAATAAGGGAAGCGAAGAAGAAAGGCTGCTTCTGTTTCTTCTGAGGAGCTCCAGTCTCCACCTTCACCTGGGACGTGGTCTCCCGGCTTCCAGCCTCCAGCACCGACCCTTCAGCCTCCATTGCAGATCCTTTGGCCTCCGGATACGGATTCGCACAGGGTACTACAGTGAGCTCCAAGTCTGCCACTGGACCCTTCGGATCCCCACTGCAGCTCTCTTGTATGCATTCATTCATTGACTGACTGATTGGCACCGGGGACTGAACTCAGGGCCTTGTGCTTGCAAGGCAGGTGGCGGAACCGCTGAGCTAAATCCCTGACCCTCTTTTGCATTTTTCTGCCCCTGACTCTGAGGGCGGCCACGGTAAGCCAATCTTGTGAATTCTTACAGATTTGTATGTCTTGCATTAAATCTGCTTCTCTAGTAAGCACTGACTGATACACCCTAGTACACTTCCAATGTAGAAGACTTAATAAGAAACTTCACTTAAAACTGTATCTATGTAAATCAGTAGAAAATAAAGTTATCTTTACACATATCCTGATACAGTGGATAATTAAAGATAGTCATACTGGTAATCTGCCTCCTCTCTGCATCCATTTCCCCTAAGAAATACTTTCCTCTGCTACTTTCTAGGTAATCAAGGTCAAAATGAGAATAGAAACTGTCTTCTATATACACTAGTGCAAAGACACACAAAAGCAAACAGTCAAATCATTTATGTATGACACTGAAAAGTATTATTGCATTTTTATTTCACAGAATACCTTCCTAGTTAAATTTTGATTACACATCTATTAAAAGTAACTTGGGCCAGGGATTTAGCTCAGTGGTTCTGCCTCCTGCCTTGCAAGTGCAAGGACCTGAGTTCAGTCCATGGTACCAAAAAAATAAAATAAAAGTAACAACTTTCCTGATCAAACCCATGACTAAAGATATGTCTTTGGGACACAGGTTAGAAAGAGGACTGA